TCTGTGCCATTCTGGGATAATCCAAAGGGCCTCCGGCATTGATAAAGTCAGACAGGGTGATGCTTGATTCGTTTCCACCCTCTGGGGGAAGAGTGATAGCCGTCATTTGGAAACTGTGTCCTCTCCTCTACGATCTGCCCTTCATCTTTTTGTCCCTCTATCTTCTCTCAAGCAGCTTTCGAATCCAGACAGGTGCTTGTTTTCAAGTACTTTACTGTGCAATTACATCAAAAAGGGCTGCAATGTGTGAGAGCCAAAGTCAAGTGTAATGAACACCCTGCCATATGACATGACACTGACTTGTTGGCGTATGATACCACCAACTCCAATGACATTTTTCTCTGCTGTCATATCTGAACAGATTAAATTCAACTCACTCAAACTCAGCTTTTAAACCTTTTACATTTGTGACTCAAGATGTCAAGTTCAGGATCAGTATTCTGCTGCCACGAGAAAACAAAATGGCCAGTGGCAGTAACGTCTGTGAGTATGTGTGCTGAGAGCAACAGCAGACAAAAGATTTTTGAATTATTTACATCATAAAGTTGCTCACATATTCATGAAGTCATCTGAATATTCATGATAAAACTACAGAACCTCCTTCTGAAATAGTGCTGCCCAGTGGAATGGCTCAGCACACGAAAGCACGTATTTGAAGTCAACTGAGGATTATAATATAGCACTATAATTGTGCTATTTAAGAAGCATTATACTCTATGGAGGTTTGACCTGTTCTCTTGTATTAAAAAAAGGTATCTTTAACTATGACTGAGCCCTGGGATTCAGCTCTCACTACAATATAAATCACCAAAACTATTACAATTAATTTGACCATTTCGCCTGCAGGCTGAGCGCAGAATAAATATTAATACAGCAAAGTGTAGTTAGGTCAAGTCTTACCATTTTGAATACATCTCCACATATTAGCATACATAATGGTCAGTGTGTTTAGTGCATTTTTTACTGCAGTGCATACTGATACAATATAAATTGATGGACTGGACACTAAGTAGAGGAGAAAAGGGGGGAGGGAAGAGGGAGAGGAAGCAACAGAGAAGCATCATATTTCATTCTTTCCCTTTCTAAGAAAATCAGAAATGACAGATAGATGGATGAGAGAGAGAGAGAGAGAGAGAGAGGGAGGGAGAGAGAGAGAGAGGGAGAGATAGAGATAGAGAGATAGAGAAGGAAAGTCTACTCTAACTCTCTAGATTCAAAGATTAACCAAGAAGAAACATTTGATTGCCGAGAGCTCACTTTTACTTTTAATTTAACTTTAACAGAACCTTTCAAGAATCACCATCAAACACGCAGATAAGCTGCAAAAAATGTGTTTCAAGACCCAAAGCCTTCAGGGGAAAGGTTCAAATCTCAAAGGCACAGTACGCACGTGTGATGTTGCGCAGGACCATGAGGTAACTCAGCGCCACCCTGTTACTATGCACCCTGCAACCCCGCTGGAACCCCCTGCAAAAACTGCTACGTGTTTGTGTGTGTCAGGGAGACTACGGGGCTATATTTAGGAGCATAACATGAGGCCAAAGGCCTGTGACATGCCTCTTATGGCCAAATACACCAGACAGTGGTAGAGAAAAGAGGAAATAAAGCACTTAACCCTAACCCACATACCGCATGCTTTATACTGTCATGTGAGAGTGACACTTGTTAATATGATTTCTGTAAATGTTTCAAAAATATGCATGAGAGGACAAAATCATTACACTTAACACTCAAACCTGCATAAGTTATTCAATTGATAGGCAGGTTTAAATGGAAAAACAGGTTCAAATTAAACTTCCTTAGCATGAACATGCAGGAAAGATTATTTCTGCAGCTCTTAAACATACTTAATGGGCTGAGAGTAAGTCTATCTGAGCTAGTTAGTTTATAACAACACTATTATTAGCATATTATTGGTTTATTGGTTACACTAACCTGCATGTGTGTGCTATATTTTGACTTTCTACTGAAAATACCCACAGTTGTTTTTACTATACTAACTTAACGACCTGCATCAAGCTGTGACAGGAGGATGAAAGAGAAGGGAGGTTTAAGGAAATGGCCAACAGGTATTGAGGCCAGGGTGGTTTATCTGTACCTGTTCTGCTGACCCACAAACACAGCAGCTCAAACAGCATCACCATCAAAGGGATGCAGCAAGTGGTTGAGAAGTCTGAATCAATAATCGTACAAATGAAATGACTTGAGACTCTCTAAGAAGTCACTGTTGACAGTACCTGCAAGATTTAATGAGATGTAGGAAAAGCAACAGGTTTGAGGTCAATTGCTGAAGGCTGTCAGTCAAAGCAATCCTGGCAGATCTTATCTACACAGGTATTTATGAGTGGCCAAAGGAGTTCACTGTAACAACACCACATAAACACTTAACTAGGACGAAGTGATAGCACCTGCGGGAGAATTACTGTCAACTGTCAAATGACTGTCAAAGGACTGGTGACCGGCCTGGAGACATCAAATGCGAGTAATCAGTCAAAGACACAAGAAGCTGACATTTTGACAACGAGAGTGAGGACAGAAGAATGAGCAAAATGCCCACGTATGCCACAGAAATTGCGAAAGCACTTCTCCGTCCGGTTCGAGAGGACTGCAATCTCGGCAGGCTATGAGCACGGTTGACGCTGTCAGCCAACCTGCTAGCTAACGTTAGCTAACCTATGCAAAGCAGGCTGAACAGATCCGGCCAACTGTTTGCGGGCTAGCTGATGGAACTGATTTACACTACCACAGTACACCCAGATAAAAATCTACGATTGCAATCCTCCAGGGTGATGCCTCTGTGCTGCTCCTCCTGGTCCAGTTATACTGGCGGGTTCCACTCTCAACTTGCGCTAGCTAGCAGGCTACTAGCTAGCTAGGTTAGCTTGTAAGTTTAGAAATGCGATTTAGCCTCGTTATTTGAGTAGCTAAGTTCCATGTTAGCAGACAGTTCTCCAGCCACTATGAGCCAGTGTCATGCCTTGTTCCGTGCGATTGGAGAGCATTTCACCTCCGGCTCTGACAGCTCACGTTGGGCTCGGTGCACATAGCGGTGAAGCTGCTAAGTTAAGCTAGTTAAATGGGCGAGCCCACTCTCTCTCACTAAGTTGCAATTAGCCATGTTCTCCTTCCTCGCTGCTCCAGTTGATGCTTGCTCTTACCTCGCTATCCACCACATCGTGGTATGCGGGCGGAGGATCAAACCCTCCAGTCCCAGTCCGCCCGCTGTTTTCCCCGTCTCCACTCGAGCCCAAGCCGGGAGCAGGCCCACTCTCCATCGGCTCATATCCATAACCGAGTCCGGGGCTTTCGTTCGTTAGGAGCGCCACTGCCTCGTTGATGTCGTTCTTTGCCAGCCGGAGCGCTTTCCTTATCACGTCGGGGTCTGGGAAACCCATGCAGAGGAGCGTCGTTATGTGCTGCTCCTCTTCGGTCTCCATTTTTGGGGTGTCTCCTTCTCTCAGACTAATAGTAACGGGGTCTTCGGCACAGCCCTGTAGCTGTGCACGCCGCCATGTTTACAGTCCGCTGCTGCTAGCCTGTCACGATCTGGCTTCCCCCCTCAACAGCGCCGACACAGGTGTTATGGCGAGTTCTGCCGGCCAAGAACTGCATGCTCATTTCGGGAGCGCGCACAGCGAAAAGTCCCAGATGTGGTTATAATTTCTAAGGTTATTCACCGTTTAACGGCGGTGTTCTATCCCTTTTTCATGACCAATAAATATGCATTGGACCCATTTTCCTCAGGAAGACAAAAAAAAAAAACTAAACTAAATCTCAATTATGTAATCTAAAATTTTGATTTACGATGAATATTCTTTTTTTATTTTTATCATGTCTAAACCTTTCATCTATTTTTCCCTGGCTTCCCTAATGGTCAAGCCAGTGTAGAGTCTTAACTCATGGATATTTAGTAGCTATCTATTGTAGCTACAGTCCACCTCGTTATTTTAGATGAGGTGATACGAATGGGGGTAATAGTGCCAATATTGCAATGAATTTGGTTATACTATGTACTTTAAAATCATAATAGGAATGTTTTTTTTTCTTCATTTGAATATGTTATATTTATATTTTTATTATTATGTATTATTATATTTGTAAGTGTGGAATGGAGCACTGCAACATAACAATTTCCCGCAAGACATTAATAAAGTGTTTCTGATTCTGATTAAACATTTAACTGGGGAATTGCTTTGTAAGAGTACATAAAAAGTAAATGTCTACAGTTCTTCTGGCGGCATACTAGAGCCTCCACACCATACCCACATTTCAAACTTTTTTCTATACTTTTTTCTCCATTATTTGATTAGTTAACAACTGGACCTGTAGATATTGCCTAACGATATAGTAGCTTACCTGTAACATTTTTGAAAACTATGAAATATTTCTATTTTCAGTCATCGCTGATTGACAAATGCAATAAATGATTATATTATAATTTATATTATTTTTCTATTGCTTCCATGAAATAAGGTCTTTTTCCCTATTACAGAAAATATGGTCTTATTTTTGAATGTAGAATCAAACAACTAAGTTGTAAACCTGATAAATCTGTATCTTTTGGGTAAACATATTCCTTCAGTTTCTTCCTAAGAAAAAGTTGTTTTATTAAATTTAAGAGTATAGATTTTGTCTGTCGTGTTTTTGTGTGTATCATTCATTTTTTAAATTGAGTTTTTTTCATTTTTTCTTTGATTTATTATCTTCTTACATTTTATTTTATTCTTTCGCAGTTCTTTATTTAGTGTATAGTTGAGAACAATTCTACATTTTATTTCTGCTGGTGTTTTAGTTGTGATTATTTCATTTCATTTTCCACAACACTCTGTGCTGTTATTTGTATCGTAACATTACAGTGTTGTCAATAAAGTTTTTTTTTTTACAACCACAACCAATCTCAGACAACATAAAGGGCGTGGCAATGCGCGCGAGTCGCGGTGGTGTGGTCTGTGGTGGCGGGTGAACATCACGTGAACACTCGGCTCATGTGACTGGGGAGACTCAAAACAGGAACAAAATGGCTGCAACTGGAGACGACGCCAGTGCGATGGAGAGCATCTCCAGGGCACCAGCGGCTCATACAGCGGCCCCGATCCCGGCTCCGAGCTCCAGCAGCCACACAGAAGTCCCGGAGGATGCAGAGGACAGCCCGGCGGCCGCTCCAAAGAAACCCCACACCAACAGTGAGACGAGTTTCCTTGCAGCTTCCGCAGCCTGCTAAAGCTAATGACACATACCAACCCATTTATTTTTATTTTAAACTACAGTTAGATTGCATGCCAGTTTACTTAATTTTGTATTTTTTCTTAAATTTGGCTTTGTAGTGTAACTTTTAGTGTTTTACCTGGACTGACAAGCGGCGCTCTGTGCTGTACTTGTCCTTCCTTCTGCTTGTGTTCAGGTGATGGAGGTGTGGAGACAGCAGAGGAGGCTGTGGAGCCTGCAGAGCCTGACATCAACGAGTTGTGCACTGATATGTTTGAAAAGATGGCCGTCTTCCTGCAAGGAGAACTCACAGGTCTTTTATACTTGTAGAAACATCTACGGTGTGGGGGAGTAATTTCTGTTTGATGCTTGTTTTCTCATCTTTATTCTTTACCCTTCTTTCTGTCTGGTTCCTCTTTTCTCTCATGCAAATTCTCCCCATCTCCTTAACCTGTCAGCCACCTGCGAGGATTACCGCCTGCTGGAGAACATGAACAAGCTAACCAGCCTGAAGTACATGGAAATGAAAGACATCAGCATTAATATCAGCCGTAACCTGCAGGATCTCAACAACAAGTGTGAGTGAGATGATGCACTGTATCTGCACAAAAACTGTATATTTTTTTTGTATTTCTAATTAATATACTGTATTATTTTTACGACTGTGTTGTGGGGTGTGTTTTTACTTTAGATGCCAGCCTACAGCCTTACTTGGACCAAATAAATCAGATTGAGGAGCAAGTGTCTTCACTTGAACAAGCTGCTTACAAACTGGACGCATACTCCAAGAAGCTGGGTAAGACATGAAATATACATAATACAGCAATGTATGATATGTTCTGTCAAAGAATATAATTAGTGGGACTGATCCTTTTCATTACTGACTGCAGTAAGTCAATAAGTGTCTTTATTATAACTGTATTTGTGGAATTCCACTGTTTGCTGAAGGTCTTGTGTTTCTGTTGCTGAGAGGAAACTCCCTGCATGACAGTGGAAACATAATGGTGTCACTCTTTATGTGCTGGCTATCTATTCCCGTATGTGAGGTCCAATCCAATAATAGTTCAGCCACATCCATCAGCTCATATTGCAAAGCATTATGAAGTCCACCAGCAGATGGTGCTGCGACGCCACGGATAGTTCTTTACGTTACAGCCTACAAAGGCAGCCGAACATTAACTGAGCATGTTGCATTTGGACCTCAGCCACAGAGTGATCGTGTCCCTGACTCTCCACATCTTCACAGAGGCCAGATTCAAAAAACTGGAGAAGCGATGAGGAGGAAGAAGAGGCAGACTGAGAGTTACGGTGCCTTCTCGCCTTCTTTCACCCTGCCTTGCCTCAGTCGCTCCTTGCCAGCGGAGCCAGGAGCTGCGGGGCAGGATGTGAACTGAGACTGAAACAACAAACAGTCCGAGCCACATTGACACTTAGAATCGACCGAGGAGGAAGCAGCTGAAGGCACATGAATTAGTACTGCAGTGCTTGGCTTAGATTTAACTCCAGTATCACAGTTTTTTGGCAGCAGTCGTGCAGCCAAGTTCACGGTGTACAGCCGTGTTCTTTTTGCAGACACACTTTACGTTGAATAAATCTGCCTAATGACCTGCATATCCTAACTGAGGGGTGGAATCAGAGTGCACTAATCTAATACTAAACATTAAGACACACAGCAGCTACTTAAACCAGTGGAGTATATAATGACACTTTGCTCATGTATAGATAATTTACATGATGAAGCATGCTCATTGTTTTAATAATGACCCTGAGAGTTGGAATTCGACTTGTTAATAGTAGCCTAAAATCTACATTGGGAGATTGTATTACAGATATTCATTACAGATTTGTTTTCCTGGGTGGTTGTGAACAGCACCACAGTCTGTTAACGTTATTGAGAGTTTCTTATGTTAAAGGTTACTGTGTAGAGCACAGCTGAAAATCACACTAGCTTTGTACAGTGAGTTTTAAGTTTGTAATTTAAAAAGATGAATCTTTGACATGGATGAACTATTGTAGGATGTGTATTTTGAGATATTGACACTGAAAACTGGAGGCTTTTTAAATAAACGGTAATTTGCTCATCATTGTTAAGACTGTTTCCTTTAAAATGAGCCGACCCCTGACAGCAGATGGCAGAACTGCACCATGATAAAGACTTGAATGGATGTGTCGTTGATGTATTAAATATTGTACATCTCTGACCCACAGCTGAAGGAGGTTCGAGTTTCAGCCTTCCTAGAAGAAGACGAGCTCTGAGACAGATGAGACTCATTCATGACACTTAAAAGCAAAAGGTTAATGGGTGACTAGAGATGTGTGTGCTGCGCTCTGCCTCCTTTGTTTCCTCCTTTATATTGGCTGCTCCACAGCTCCTCTTGCCACGGGCAACAGATTATCTAAACTGATAGGACCTCTCTCCTGAGAGAGTGTGTGTGTGTTGGTTCATGCACATGTACGCCTGCGTGTGTGTGTGTGTGTGTTTGTGTAAAACCTAATCTAAAACAGGTCTCTGTCATTAGTCCAGTTGAGGCCCCGGCACAGAGGGAGCTCATTATTCATACTGTAACATTATTTACTGTTGCACTGTGATCCTTCCATCTCTCCATTTCCCTGCCTTTTTCCAGGACCCTGGGGCATAAATTCAGCTCCCCTCCCAAAGGCTCTAAAATCAGGTCTATTAAATGATTCTGGGTTGTTTTCGTAAAGCTAAATGTGAGTGCCAGGAGGCAGCCAAGCATGGAGGAGAAGGTAACATACTAATCATAGGTAAAGCTTTCTTATATTATTCAGTTTGGGGAGTATCGCAAAACTAGAGCATGCTGGAGCAATATAGCTTGGCTGTGGAAACTTATTATATTCTGTTCTGAATGTGTATTAGTGGTTTTCAGAACGGGGGGATGGAAAGTAAAGATGCAGGGATAAGTAGGTGTAACTCCACTGATTCATTTAATTGTGAAGCTGAAAAGAAATGAAGGAGACCTATGTTAAACTGGTCATTACAGTTTTACAGCCTCTCAACTCCCCGTCTCCAATAATTCATATTTTCAAAAGAAAGGCTTGTTATTCTAAGGTGTTGCCTATGCAGAAAAGGAAGCAGCGAAACAAAAGAAATATACGTCAAAAATGACGTCCCAACTTGGGTTAATGTAGTCACGATTAGACAATATCCTATGTGAGAATGATCGTCATAGCAACAGCACTTCTTTATCTTCTTTTTCCATATATTTCCAGTTGAGACATAATAAGGAAAGTTGTTCCCATGTGCCACTATGTGTCTGTGTGGAGAGTTGAAGCTCCTCCAGTGTAAAGGGTTCTGTCCATGTGTAGTGTGATTATAGATCAGCTCTAGCTTCTATATTAATACTGTGAAAGTATCAAAGCCTCAGTCCACAGAGAAATGCACACAGCCTGTATTCAGAAACTGAGCCTTAAAACCAGCCGTCAGGACTTCTGGAACTTTGTGATGTCACAACAAAGCAGTCACCAAGCCCCGCCCACCTGGACCCACCATCCAAACCTTGCAGGATTTGGAGTGTTTTTACCTGAAATCTGCTTTATTTTTATTGGCTCACTCAGAAAACAGTCAGCCAATTAGAAGAGAGGCTCAGAGCCTCCTCTCTTCTGATTGGCTCACAGACCTGTTGTTACTAGAGCTGCAGAGAGAAGCCTGAGAGAGGAGATGTGAAACTACACTGAGATGGTTTTTATATCTTCTGATGGATCAACACTTCAAATAAAACACAGAAGAAGAAGAAACACGGAGCTTTAACCTGCTGATTGGGATCACTTGTGTGTGTATGTATACTGTATCTATACAATGCATCCTGTTTCACACAGGAACAAACCTGTTCCTTTGATGATAAAAACCTTTCAATATAGTCCATTGTAAGGGAAATGTCACTCAACTGGAATCTGTTGTCATGTATTTGTGTTAATTATTGTTTATGTGATAGTTAAATATTCCACGAGGTATCGCCGCGTTTATCAGTTTGGTCTTTGTAGTGTTTCTCAGTGATGTCCCATCATGTTTGACCGTACAGCTGAATGACAATGTCTCAACTGTCCTCACTGACCAACAAGCCATTTCTTTTAGCTCATTACGGTAATAACAAAAAAACAGTCTTTCCCTCTGGTCCTAAGAAAATATGTCTCTCTTTTCACTCCCCTTCTCTTTTCTGCTTCCTATCCACAGTGTACATGCTGGTTCCCAGGGTTGAAATACACCACAAGCAGCAGGGGACGTGCAGACAATGAGTCCCCTGCAAATATAAAATGATCTTGCAAACCTCAACCCCTTTCAAGCATGCACTACTGTACACACACACACACACACACACACACACACACACTACAGACAATGCATTAGAGATGTCTTTACATGTGTCACATACAATGCCAGGTTAAATATCGGTTACATGGGGATGATTCTGATTGAATTACATACACTGTGGCTTCCACTTATAGATGTAATCAACTTAAAATGGAGATTACGCAAAATGGACCAAATAGGTCTAACTCAACAAAGGAATTATTCCAATTCTGATCTTTTGAAAAGATACAGTGTCGATTTGATTTGCTCTGACAGACCTCAGGAGATTCCCAGAATTGTGACTGAGAAACTATCAAACACATGTCCATCATCAGCTGCAGTAAAAGAGCTGTTTTCCCCATAGGTCCAAAGTGGAGACTGGGCCAGTTAACAATAACAAGGCAGCATGCCACACCACAGTGTTGTGTAACTGACAAGCAAGCACAAAGTTTGGGAAAATGTCGGCCGTGTTCATGAATGAGAGCGAACAAGGACACTCAAAAAGTCGTTTTCAAACCACATTTGTTCTGTGTTTCTCGGCCTTCCTCGAAGTTAGCATTTCACTTAATTTGGCAAAGTCAACAAATTTAGTAGAATTGTGAAATCACTCTTCATCCCTCTGTCTTTCACTCACTTTCACACACACAGGCCGTGATGGGATAAACAGCGCTGCATAACTGCACTCCAAGTCGTTTAAATACCCTCCCATGCCCCTGTAAAGCAGGGACACTATAACGACAGCCAAACGGCCCGGGATAAATGGCAAAGAGGTTCATGTTTACATCTCTTTCAAAGCAGCCAACAGATCTGGGAGGTATTTCAGTGCAAATACAAGCCACATGTGAGATCTGAGGGACTGAGTCAAACTTCAAATACCTTCTACGAGCAGGGCACAAAAAGCCACATGAGGTCAACTTTTGGCACGACAATCATTCACTTCACTCTGCTTCTCACACCTCCATCATACCCTGTGCACACATGTGAGGACGCAAGGACACCAACACAACCTGCATGTCACATCTGACCCCTATGAAACTCTAAGCCAAAAGCCAGCGTCTATCAGGTCTGTGGTTCTTGGAACACTTTGAGCAACGCTGGATGAATGCAATCCATTTTGATTATAGCGAAACGTCCACACCGTCACTCCATTATTACAAATGTAAAATGAGACCAGATGGGCTTGTGGCACAAAAACCGAAGGTGCAGCGCTATTTTGGATGTGAGACAGAGACCAGCCGGTCTCAGCAGGTAGGAGAGTCAGGGTGTCAGACTCTGGCTCCAGTCTCAGATCCAGCTCTGCTCCTGGGGTAGAAACAAGGACTGAGGATACTCTCCCTGCAGGAAGTCATAACCAGTGACACCTGAGAACTGTCCTGTGCAATACTGGTTAAAAAGTAATATTAGTTTAGTCCTGGTCTCCCTGTGTGCTGCTGTTGTTTGTCTTCCCATTTTGACTTTCTGTGAGGAGTCTCGCTTTCATGTGCAGCGTGTCCAGCACCAGGTCTAAATGGACTCAGCATCTCTCAGACCCCCCGTTAGAAACCCACTCAGACTCTTTGGCACCAGAGTCATCAGTGTCCTTTCAACTGTGTGCTGCACACAGTGACACTGACCACAGCTGGGAGGACATTTCAGACATAAACACTTCAAATCTCTATTATAATGATGTACAATGTCATGATTGTGTCCCACACTTGAACAGAGGCAGACTTTTATTTTCATATTTGAAAAACATGTCTTAGGGATGAGGTTAGAGAACATCAAGCAGATGTGAGCTGCTACACATTTCACAGTTGCAGATGTTACTTTTAATGCTCCGCTAATCAATACTTTTCTATTTATAATATATGACATAACCTCATGCAATATGGAAGATGTTGCTTGTAGTGATGAACCCACAAAGAATTACTGCACAGCTCAGTTTCCTGCTCTATGGAGCATTTCAGCGTCTTTCAGCTCATTGTTTTGCTTTTACAACCTGCAGCTTTACTGTTTTGATTGATTCTCAGCAGCTTTGTTTCCAGCTGCAGGTGCTTTCAACAAAAAGATAAACATTACACTACCTGCCCCTCACCAATTATCAGATAGACAAATTTAGCAACTAGCTGGAAACTAACATAATGGAGCATTTAGCAGCTAAAGATACTGGAGTTGGTGGAGACCAAAAAAGGAGCTAAAAGGAGAGTTAATACCAGGATCTATATTTGCCAGGTGATCAGAATCCATGGTAACGCCTCTTTGATGTTTAATTAGATTTGTTTGTTATCATGTTTATCATAACAACATTATAAAGTTAGATTTCAATGTTTTGTTTTCCCTGAGGTTAATTTTGAGATATGCAGTAAAGGGTCCTGTGTGAGGTCAGTGTAACATACACAGGCAGTCTTTACACATCCATCATTATATTGACTGAGACATCAAGACCACCGTGTTTGAGTAATAAAGGGGATTTATGGTGGGGACAGTGGCTTTCTTAACAAGTCACATCCTGTTTATCAGGAATAAAATGTCAGTAGTTCACAGCTCACAATTAAGAATTTTCTCAAAAGGGCTTTTGAGCTATGCATGGTGTCTCTGTGCGTGTGTGTGTGTGTGTTTTCTTTTCAGCATGTGTGCATTAGCTCATCCAAATGAGTAATAAGTGTCCGGAAGCCATAAAAGGACAGAGTTGACTCATCTTGGTATGGGGGCCCAAGATGTCCCAAAACGAGACATTCAGAGCCAGAAAACAACTCAACACGTCCTGGGAGAAAAGTCAAAGTTGTTCCTGCT